TTACCAAATATTATTTTCTATATATCATATTTATCAGTCCGAGCAGCGTTTATATATTTATAAACTACTATTACGAATTATTTCCTTTGGAGGCCCTCCCACTAAAAAAATGGCTTTCATGTGACTCACACCTCGCCATCATAACCCAGTGACGTAATAGTAAGAATTAAAATACTATTGACAATGCCGTTTGCCGAAATTTATGCCGTAAACTATCATGGCATTCGTCTAGAATACATTATACCAAATTGTACGTTTATACTATTTAATTTGTAAGTGTAAATATATTTTGTTTCGTGTAAAATGCATTAAGCATGTAAAACCAAACATCTATCTAGCTTATCCGGTATTCATTGTTCATTCATGGCTTGGATTGGTTGAAGTAAAAAACAAAAATGTTTAATTTTCAACTATTAAGTCAAATTTAGTTAAAAACTATTCACACATATAATAATACTATGTAATTAGAAATAAACGCCCTCAATCGTTGTATTGAATAAATTGTTAGGGGAAAAAATCAACAGCAATCTCTTACTTATTAGAATGTTCATCATGGGTCTTGTGTGTCGTGTAAACTGCGGGACTACATGATGGAAACGCTGATTACGATCGATATCTTAATTACGTGTATTTTAGAATTCACGGCTTGTAACAATACCGAACTAATTGAAAATAATGAATGCAAAACCCATCGGATTTACCTTTACATTTTGTCGGGATTTGTTACTCATCAACAGTCTATTGGAAAAACTGAAATAGCAATCGTAGTCTACGCACTTCCTCGTGCTCATTTGGATGGCGATTCGCCCCAATCGATCGCGGAAGCTTTATTGCGTGTCAGCTCGGGCCAATGAAGACGCTGGTGACGTCATGGCGCCTACATTAACTTTTATCTAATCAGAAGACGCCATCCCACGTCTTCCCTTCGTCACTGATGACCCGGGTATAGTGAGTATATAAGTAACGCAGTTAGCACGCGTCGTTGTTAGTCCGTGAGATTTCCACCACGATTGCTTACCTGGGATACCTGGGAAGGTTTACTACATTATATCAGGTATAGTCGAAATTCACTTCATATTTTTATTAAAATTGTATTGTATTGTATTGTATTGTATTCTCATGTACGCTATATCGCCAAAGTATTGGCCGTTTTTTTTAAATGACCATATAATAATCGATCAATCAACCGATTATTTTTATTTCACTAAACGAATAAGGGATTTAAAAAGGTTGTATCATTTGCTATTGTCAATATCAAATCGAATGATTACTTGAATCATATACACAACTCAATCGATTGGAAAATAGGGGCGTTTTTTCTCACAGTAATATTGCGTCTAAAAATGCCATTTTTATAAGCCAAATACCATCAAATTACAATCAAATCGCGTGAATGCCCGATCATATGTGGATGTACCTGATTCGACGGAAAGATAGTTTCCCCGAGTAAGTTGAGTAGGTTACAATCTTACGGCTGCTTCGTGATACGCGTACCTTCCCAGCGAGACTGTTCAGCATGTCTTTCTTGTTTTACTTAATGCGTATATTAGCCCGGGGTGGACCTGATCGATTTACTAATGTTGCACCCATGTCAATTGCACATCAATATAACTGCATTCATTAGCACACTCCCTAGGTAAACGCTTCTTTATTATATTATCTATTCCGATGACATCTGATAATCTACCTAGGTGTAATCTCGTGGGATTGTGTAAACTACTTTACCTCGCGGATTTGTATCATATATACAAGCTGTGTATTGATTTCTATCATATTTGAATCTAATAGAAACTGATGCGCTAATATATTTCGTTGTATGCTCTCCAGGTTGGATCAAATTAATTTTCCAAAAAAAAACAAACAAAACAAAAAACGTAACTTTATATGTGCTTAAGTTTTCGCTGTAATGCACTTGTTACATCGCTGAAAGAAAATACGACTTTTAACATTAATAACTTTTAAAATTTGTAAAATTCAATCAGGAGTATCATGGTAATTCATTCAGATCATAGAAGTAGGTGCAGTTTGAATTTATGTTTGCCAAATAATTTACTAGATGTCGAGATGTTCGACTGAATATATCCTACTCACACGGTTCACGTTATGTATCATGGTGTAATCGTATTACCAATCACCGTGGGATACCATGAAATGAATTTATATACCCATATGCGGTCGGACGAAATGCAACTGAATGTTCAGCAGAATTTTTTATCCGCGGTAGAAAATCGATTCAAAATACGGCTACAGATTTTAAAATATATATTTACCATGAATATGCATGCGTGTATTGACTAGTTTCGAAAAATACAAACACCGGTTTTTTTTTCTATTATTATTCTTATTATTATTAGATTTATTGAAATTGCATGTGAAAAATATTTAATTACACTTCCGCAACAAAGTGTAACCTTCGCGCTGTGAGAGTGAACAATGGAAAATCGTCGCTCATGCACTCTCTATAAGGAAAAAGTCAAATATACATGAATGATATCATACATACAACTGTATTCTTGCCACGCTGTAGAGACTACAAGGTCAGTTATTTCATTCAAGTGCCATTTCATTCAGGTGTAATGAAACTATTAACTTTACCCACTACCGCTACTACCTGCGTAGATATTGTAACTAATATTAAAATGCATTTGCCAAGTGCTAACCTGACAATTTGATATATCAGCAACTAGCTGTCACATAAAAAAACAGTGTGCTTTATTTGTGGGTTTAAATGTATTTAAATGCATTGATTTCAATGACATGTAGAATCTGAGTTTTATTGCAAACGAGATGAATATAACAATGTAGTTTATGAGGTAGAATTATAAAACTATTACCCATTACGTTCATATCATATATAGGAAGTGTGGGTGGTCATTTCGGTATCTCCCAAATCCAATGATTATTAGTATCAAAATATTACTTCTAATATAAAATCGCTTATTTATATGGGTTACGAACGATTACAATTCATCTGTGTTATATTATTTATTTATTTGATCAAGAACTGGTGAAGTTTATTTGTGCTTGTGACTAGGTACAAATGGGGTTACAATAAACATTGTCTCAAAACATAAAATGTTTGACACAGTCGCATCATTAAATAATTTTTTTTTTTATAAATTGTGTTGTGACGAGATCGTATACTGTATTCCTCATCAATGTTGTCCGTGCAATTTAATTCGCTATTATATACAATCTTAGAAGGATGTATTAACGCAATTAGGATCAGAATCATGTCATATGCTTTCCTGTTGAATCTAGAAGAAGTTACCGTAACTGTCTAAGAAGGAAAAAATGTTCCTGGAAATCTAACTACAATGACTACGCCATTAGGAGGATTCGTGCGGTGCTCAACGGCTTGCGGTTATCATGCATTAATAAGGCATGTCAGTGATCTGTCTAAAAGTAATCATAGCTGGCGGTGCAATATTAGCCATAGGTATAAATAACAATGTCCATTTACCACGTAGCAAGCGCTCACAATCTCTTCAAATTTACTGATGTGTGGAGTGAACCCCAAAGGTGAATATATTAAAATACGTCCATTATTGTGGCTTTGTAAATCAGGCCTTCCATTTTTTATTTTTGTTAAAGCTAGTTTCGATGTCATGGGTAAAAAGTATTAATTATCGTGAAGTAATAATAACTAAAAAAAATATAATAATTATAAAAAAATACTGCACTGAAAATATATCATTTATTTGATTTCAGGTACAAACCGACTATAATCGGCTGATGGCCAATTTGTGTATGTAGGGCTCCAACACGTTTAATATAATAACAGGGATACTCCGTTTTGAGTTCACTTTAAGAAATTCGAAGAGCTCTTGTCTCATACATTTTTTTATTAGCAGCGCTCCTTGAGCTACACGATGCCTTGCAAAGGTACGTTGTCTAGTGATGCACTCAATTATGCAACAAACTACCGAACATTCCGCGATGGAGCGCTACTTCCGGGCAGGATCCTTTCCTCTCTCCCCTCTCTCTCTCTCCCTCTCTCTCTCTCTCTCTCTCTCTCTCTCTCTGTCGTAGGCAGTTTGTATTTTGGTAACATTGTGTTGTACTGCTAATTCGGCCTCATGTGATTTATATGAATAATTTCACATTTCGGATTAGGAGATGCTTCATAGAACAGACACCTGATTTATAATGTTATACAATTTAACAAACTGTCGGTAGATAAATAAAATTATCTCACATGGAAGTTCCTAATTCCAATGTCATGAACGATGACGTTTGTAGTTTAGCTGTGGATGACACAGATAAGAATAATAACCATTTCAAAAACTCACGCTTAGGTACTGTTTTTAATTTTGCCGATAACAGAACCACAGTAATTTCCTTCCACCCCATTGAGCTCGTCTGTTATTACTCTTTTGAAGAATATTCTTGCTAGCTTTTCTCAGTGTCACACCGTTGTTATATACTATTCTATTCTGAAAGTCCAAGGTTCAAAGTTGATACCTGATATGTTTTAGATTAGTCTTGCTATAGTTATGAACGAGAAAATCGCGAAAAAAAAACTTGTATTTGAAAGAAAATATTAGGCTACCTTGTTTCTAAAGTTTCTAAAGCAAACAACACTAGATGATATTACTACACTCGTCACGTCTCCCAGTGTTATTATGGGTCGTATGCGAATTTTAAAACACGTGTAATATACATTGGTTATTTACATGAAACCGACAGTAAGAAACGTAAATTAAACATGAGTTTGAGCGGAAAGTGACCACTAGCGGTGCATCTCAGTGACGTATTACATTGTATATTTGCAGGATCTTAAAGATAACCAGAAAACAGAAAAAATAAAATGAAGTGCGGAGCTTGTGCGCTTGTCTTTATGGTTTTCGTGTATGGTATTGCAGCTATACCACTTCGAGACAATGCCGACCTCGAAGGACGGATCGCAGCGGTTGTCAGAGAAATTATTAACATAATTCTGGTAAGTCCCATTTGTTGACGACTGAACATGCCAGTACACATACGAGGGAGCTTCTGATGAGTTCGTATATTACGAAAACTTATCACTGTGAAATTACGTTTTACAATATAAATATTGTGCCAGTAGTGCGTAGGGACTGAAATTGATGACATCATTTCTACATTAACTATATAAAAATATATTTCACATGTCCTCATTTTTTTAACATTTAGCCAAATATATAAACAGTTTTGAAGATGTGGTTTATAAATACAAATAAGTAGTTTGTTTGGTTCAAATATTGAATTATCCATCTTTACTAGGATTATAATAATAGTCCAGTGTATATTATGCATATATCTCTGGAAATTACATATTTATAAATAAATTATTCATATCCAAAAGTCATATTGATAACACTCACAATCGTTCGTTTTTACTGTATTTCCACAGGAAGAACAAAGACAAAGTCAACTATCAAATTCAGTAGCGGGAGGTAAGAGTCACATAGCGTATTTCTTAGTCCGATTTGTAATAATGCTGGAAAAGCCAATAGACAGATACTTTATTACCTCCATTGCCATTATGTCAATCCCCGGTGTGCTCTTGCATGATTTCGTAAAAAGCCCAGGTGAGCAATTACGGCGTCAATAATAGGTTTGAATATCTCATCACAAGTCCTATAATTTCGCATGCCGTGCCTTTAATAGACTTGTACTTTTGTGAGTTGTTACACGTCTTCTCTTCCTTCATTTCGAAATCGGTGTCATATTTATCCACTGTAATATACTATATTCGGCAAGACCGTCAAATGGTGTTTTGGATCCGAATCATGAAGCGTTTGTTGCCAGAAAGTGATTCCCGTTGCATGTTCCGTAGAAGGCAGCACGTCACAAAATAGAGACATATAGTTTGTTGCGTTTTCGTGTTTGTTCTCTGAATATTACCACTAGTACTGTTAATACGTCACTCAGATACATTGCCAATGAATCTTCATTAACTATGACCATGACTAATGCGCATAAAAAAAGTTGATTTACACATCCGCGTTACTTTTTGACTTTCTGATTAACTCAGTGAATTATTCACCTGATTCAATATTTAACGGTTACATTACACGAACATCGTGTTGTGCAGCGAAATGTCACGATGGGGGTAATAAACTGTCTATACGATTCTGCTGTGGCGTAATCCAGTAGAGGCATGCATTGGAGGCGCACAGTGGACGATACGCTGATACGCGTGCGGTTGTTGATCCTAGAAAAGGATGGAAATGTTTAATATTGTTTAATTTCAATTGTTCATCAATATAGTGTTATTTTAATGTATTAGTTGCGTCTGATTGACGGGCATGGTGACCAATTACTGCATTAAATAGTGTTAATAATCGACGTTTTGTTAGGTGTGGGTCACACGTAGCGGGTGTAAAGGATAATTATGTTTAAATGCAAATAAAACGAGAGATGACTTCGGGATTTCATAAATAAGGTGTGGGTAAGCAACATATTACACGATCGATGACTGAGTAAAACAAAATCCTTCATAGTCATATTGCATAAACTGAGGTCCCAAAAAAAATATCGATTAATCCCCGAAAATTATTGCTGTTTTATATTATAATCAGCTTCCGTATAACATATAATATACACGTGCCGATCAGTAACCTGACAAACATAAAATATTAAAAAAAGAATATATTGAAATGCTCTCGTCTTACTCAGAATATGTATAACCGCTATATCAATATCGTGTATGCCTCGTTAATAACTGATGATCATACTGATATTGCGAGAACACCGCGAAGTACAGACAATAATTCTTATTTTGTACCGCTGTTTCTGTTTCACATCCAATAACTAATCCGCGTACGCTAGTAGTGTTATTAAATTTAGGGAATATGCTAAATTACTGATATGACATGTCTGTATAACACTGTACTGAACCATAACATGTTGTTGTTGTTGCTGTTGCTGTTGCTGTTGTTGTTGCTGTTGTTGTTGTTGTTTCTTATGTCAAAACACTCGTAACTCCAAACGGCAAATATCAATGTAAAACAACCAGACGCGTATTTCTTTCGATAAGATGGGAACCAATTACGGTAATTTGATATATGTCCATTTCCTTAATTCCTTCGACTTCGACATAATGTGCGTAGTCAGTGACGTGATTGTAACAACGATTTTATTATATTACATTAATTTCACTGTAATGCACTAAGGACATCGGCAGTGGCAGAGTCTCGTGTTGCGTGCGTTTGAATATCGCGAGAGTAAGCATTTTATTTCAAAAGTCTTGTATTCGTCGCATGTCACTCGCCAATTGCGTTGCTTCGACCAAATAACGTGATGTGAATTAGTGTGACAGATATATATGAAATCACCCCCCCATTTGCACAATATTTAGGGAAAATGCCATTCAAGCTGAATTAACCATCTGTCAAAATCACCCTTTGCACCTTTACTTGAAGACATGTCGGGTACCGCCAATCTAATTTAAATAATACCCACAATTCACTACTCCCGTACAATGATAAACAATACAATATTGATATTTCAGAAAAAACGGTTTCATATTTTGAGGATGGAGATCATAAAATCAACATATTTAGTCACTCTACTCAAAATCAAGTGAATATATGGAAATATTTTACCACTGTTTTCCGTAGTAAAAAGGTATATTTAAATTGTACGGTAGAGTTACACATGTTATATATACTCCGTCTTACAGGGTACTTTTGAATGAAGAAGTATTATATAATGTTAGTGGGATTTTAGTGAAAAAAGTGCTTTTCATTTTGGTCTATTACAGTCGCTGCTACAATGTCCTTTTGTAAATAATATTTGACCTATTTTATCAGCAACAAAATCAGGTTGGCAGTGAAGGAAACACACTGTTGATTCATTTTAACATTTATATTTTTGGCGGGTTTTTAATAATAAATATTGAAATTATACTAGGGAAAAATTTGCAATTTAAAAATGTCGATAAGCCTTGTTACACAAATATAACAAAGAATATAATGAAACTTCACGATGTAAGATTTTATGACACAAACACAGTGTGAAATGGCACTATAATAATGTGTCACGTGGCGATATACATGCAGAACGTCGTTAGTCTTTGTGTACGATGGTACTATGATATGCACAGTTCAGACTGTATGACAACAATAGAGAATTACACGTTCACTGCGAGATCACGCGTTACGACTGAAACTACACGCTACAAAATGTGCTATAGACATTTGATTATAGCCAATTTTGATGAAATAAGGGCATCTCAATGTAATACTCCCTTCTAAATGAACGGCACTTCGACATTGAGCTATTCAAAATCAAAGCGGTCGATTTTACGTCAGACGTTCGGTAAGCTTATCAACCAACTCAACAAATAGGTGATAACCTATATATAATGGTGTTGAAACTATGGTTACGTCATATTTGCAATGCCATAGTAGTAAAACTAATAATTGTAACATACAAACAAACTTACATTTAGTTGAAAACTACTTCAACTACTTCCACTGTGGTTCATCTTCGACACATCAAGACACCACCAACAATGTAGTATACGGGCGTGTAAAACAGACACATTGATATGAATGTTATAGTATAACATTGTTCGATTGAGTATACAAAGCTTAGTGAAAGCATTTCAGTCCTAGGGTTACGTCTCACTGGTGGCAGTCTTTACTGACTATACCTATATCTAATTAGCGTTCTTTAAAGAAGCATCGTCTCAGTGGCTATGATTCTGCTGGGCAACACACTCACAATTATTCGCGATCACTGTTATACCTTGCGCTACTCGGTCCCCCAAAGGCCAGGGAGTTGAGGATGATTCATATGGCCCAGTGAACCAGGGCGATAATATGAAGCGTATATGACCATTTTCTTCGATATATAACGTTGCGCATGCTAACAAATTACACATGAATACGCTTGATGAACAAATCTTGAAAATAATAAATATACTTCAATTGATAATAGGTCACTATTATAGAATACTTAATTTTACATGATGTTTGTAATGGGTGTACTGTCACTCATGATCATTTGTATACTCATTTCATTGAAATTTTCAAATCTCGGAGTGTGCACTAATTTCGTGTAGTTTATACAGAATGTTTTGAATTCACGATCAACCGAATTATTTCAAATGATCTATTGTTTGTCGATATCTAATTCAAATATTTTTGTTTTCCACATTAGAATCAGACTATATGGGCAATGATGTCATAGACCCAGAAAGGAAACGGGACTCCAATCATGGTAAAACGTTTTATCATTTTGGAGTTGGGAGACGCTAGGTAAGACCGTATATATGTTCCGTTACCAGCCAGTTCACAATTACTTTTTTAAAGATGAGATATGTACATTATGTGATAAGATATAATTTGATGTAGTGGATAGAAAGGTTAGGAATCGTACGGTAGTGACCATTTATCAATGCTTGAATTAATTTGCACTCCCGCCAGCACAAGCACATGAGTTGAAGGATTTTTTCGAAACCGTGATCAAGAATTGAGAATATGGGAGGAATACACCCGAGGACAGAATGGCGTGGCTGTGTCTTGTACATTTTGACTGCAGGCAATCTTGCTTTGTACGCGAGCCGAGGATTCTACGATGTTTGTTGCGTCCGTCTTAGCCAACTGTGGTTGGCACAATGCACACTACTTTCAATGAAACGCGCTAAACTGGAAACCACTGCCACAGAGATTAGACTGCGGTAAAAAGAAAATACAAAAAAATACGTATATAATTTCCCAATACACGCAACTGCAGGCTGTACGCTATCCGCGGTTGTGTGAATTCCTCAATGATTCAAGTGCGGCTCTCTTGAATATGGAAACATCGCTACAGTAATTAACCGAGGATATATTGAATTCAGAAACTGATGGCGTTAACTTGTTGATAGAATCGCATCTGAACCACTTGAAATATTGTATGTTTTCACAATAATGTTATTCCTGATTCTTAGCGAGCGTGTGGCCCGCAGCACATCAGATATTAGGGCTAGGTTCTTTACCGATAAGTCAACCAAGGGAATACAAATTGAATTAGATAGCGATCAAATTTACTACAGCCGAACCATGAATACACCTATTTACTCGCCGGCGAATATAAGCCATGTTTATGACGTCGGTAGATGTCGATCTTTCCTCTTTTCTTTCCCAAGTTATACATAAACAGACTTTTTTTTTATTTCAGGATTTGTACGAGTTAGCCGGCTGTCGCTGAAGTTTTATGTTCGGCAATCCCTATTTGTCAGTATTTTTTTTCCAACACACAACGGACTGAGCGGAAAACTATGTATTATATTTCCAAGAAATCTACATAATTGTCTTTGCATTGGTATACATATTTATTTGTCCAGCACACTGCCGTGAAATAGTTCAACCTGGTTTATTACATCGTACTATAGTTGCTCACGTAACCCGATCGAATATTTGAATTTGTGTTTCAACTAAAAATCAGGACTCATAATATAGGCATGTTTTGACAATATCAATTAAAATGTTTTTTATTTGTCATATTCTTGTGTAGATATGGTTATTTCCAAAAAAAATATTGTCTCATACTCTCTGGCCTATAAGTCTTTCAGTCGCCGTAAATAGAATGTCTTGTAACTATGGCAACATACTATGTCGGTCTCTCAGAATAAAATGATTCTGAAGCATATGTGTTCTGATTCATATGATTTCCTTTGGGAGTAATTTCTTGTTTGCCAAACGCTTAAATTTCAAATGTTGCGGTTCCCGATTCGTCCAATAATTATCAAGAGAGCGTGAATTGACACAATCATAACTGACCTTACATATTCAATTGTTTCAGTCGGTGGGACGCTAATACAACAGTGCTTATAATCCACGCTTTATTTTACAATACGTGTCTCTTTTGGTGCGTTCAGGCTACTCAGACCCTAGAGCGGAATATTTTTAATACTAAAATGTTCATGAATAATTTTGGAGTTTTGATGTTTTTTTCTGCAATACCTTTTATTAAATGTTGGTCTAAATAGACGCAACTTATCATTGGGTACAGGTCAACGTGTTACACAATTATGCGGATTTGATTTCAGAAAATATTTATGAAAGGTTCTGCTTACAACTCGATCTCCCAGAGGGTTTTTGGATATAAACACGGTCTAAGTCCTACTTTAAGTCGGGAAATTGTTCGTTTGTGTTTAGTGCTGAGTCTCTTTGTTAAGTAAAACAGCAAATATTTGTTGGCTGGTGTCCAAAGATGGAACAGCACTACGCCTTTACCGGGAAAACGTGAGAAGTCGTTACGTTATTACGTGTAATATTAGGTTGTGAGGGTTATGAGTCCAAAAATGTACACGAAATGAACGAAAAAGCACGCGTTAAAAACATATGCAAAATATTGTCCATTACTTGGTCTATTTTAACACCTTGGCTACTCTATTGACATTGGCTGTTTATTCTATTGATGCAATTCTGTCAGTCGTATTAAATCATTCACAAATTGGCCAACACGCGGACATTTCATACATGATGTAAAAAACGAGTTATAAAAAATGATCTTCAAAGCAGTTAACGCTACTGGTGCATAAAAGGAAAGAAAAACTTATTAAATAGACTACATTGTGCACATTAAAGTACGAAAGTTCAAAGTCAAATTATTTTTTCATTTCTCGACCTTCACAGTGTATTTTGTTCAAGAAAATGTAAATAAATTTAAGATAATAGATATGTGTATAAGAATGAGAGGTTACATACCATTCCACTGTCAGTCCGGTGCTCGTCGAATTATTGCTTTTGCTACGGAAGATGCATAATTTACTTACATGATGTAGCCGTTTATTTCAATTTACACAAATAATCAAGTATTTCGTTTACTTTTTTCAAAAACTAAAACACACAGTTTATAATACAATGAAACTGAAGTCAATCATTAGTTTGAACACAGTCTAGAGAATTTATTTTGAACTTAATCAACTATAAATAACTATGAAAGAAAAAGACGAAGGCCATTTGAGGCAATATCCACTTTCCTACAAACTTTATATGGTAAGTACTCTACCAAGTATCGCCAGCGAAATGTCATGTAACAGGGTGATGATTTTCAATGAGACGCTTGATTCGAATGTTTCGTTGCCACGGAGACGTCCCTTTGACACGTTTGCACGGAAAGGAGTAAAATAATGCGCCTTAGCATTGATTGAAAATATAACGTCGTTTAATGTTTAGGATGAACCTAACATATCTTGAACGAATGAATAATTGAATTAAAGACTAACCACTCCCAAGAGCAAGAAATGGAACTAGCTTGCTGCAGCGATTATAGATACATTGAGCGGTGGCGCAAATTTGCGCTCGCATTCAAGTGTTGTGAGTGTAGTCGTGTAGTTACGGTTAGCTGCAACATGCATATGTGTACAATGGTCTCAATTGAAACGATTTCGAAAAAGACTAACCGTTTAACAGCACACACCCGTTTCGAGGTTCACGAGTAAGCCACTGACAATTCTAATTCAAAGATTTATTTTTCTCACGCTTCCCAAGAGTTTCAACCTTCTGCATTTATGTGCTATGTCCACATCAAAAATATATTTTTCGTCGATTTTGAGACCTTCTTCTAAACACGAAAAAATTACCATTTAATCTCGGCTTGCATAAGTAAAAGTGCGCTATCGATCAATCAAAACGATGTATTATGACAACTGAAATGCAGGTACAATATACATATTATTAATGTATCGAGTCTCATAATAAAAAACAGACAGACTAGGAATATAAATATGAATAAATTGTACCATTAAATTACAGGAAAGTTCAGTTTTAACCAGCTCATTTTCACTATGCTAAGCGTTCTTGTGAAGAACGAATACAATTGATTACGCATGAGTACCTCAGATGTAGGCAAAGTGTTCTGAACAAACGTACCACCGCACTGCAGTCTCGATCCGAGACTCTACAAAACGCATAATGCATGCAGCAAGCAGGCTATTTACAATTGAGCGAATAATATATATTTGTGCAGTATGCTCGGAGCAGTGAAGCTTTGACAATGACACTGATGAAAGTTTCTGAATGGCATATTTGCTCCTAAATATACAAATTCCGTGTTTGACGCTTAACAAGTATGAACATGTTTCAATTGACTATCCTTAACGTACACTGAAGGTAATTGTTGCTGCAGTAAGCGAGTTAGCACGTGGCGGAAATAAATACAAACAGACTTGTGCAGATGATAAATGTTACCATGGTCTGTTTCGTGCGTGATGCGACAAAGATTTTCAATACAAATCCACACACGACTTTGCGCCGTAGGATTTCCGACACGCATGGCTATTCACGTTATTCAGTTACTAAGTTAAACGGATATGTTAATATCGTCCATTGATATGAGTTCACTGATAACGTGTCGATATCTCGGTGTGTGTTAATTTCAGCACTTATTAATTTCAATTTACGCTTGCATCTCAAGTACGATCTCTGTCCCGTATCATATTAGATACAGATGTGCTGGCATGGAAAGATTAGCATGACTGTGATTTATTAGTCGAACAATTAGTACGTGTCAATTATTGTACATTGGAAATGAGAAACATACTAATTGTATATTATATGTACGTATTTGCGGCGATGTATATTGAGGTGAATACGGTAGAGTTGCAATTCCAGAAGTCAGAAAGTCAAAGACCCATGAGATTCAGAAGTGCACAGAAATTGAAATGAAAATAAATTGTACTGAATTACTAAATATAAGTCAACAAACAGACGTACTGCTACTACACAGACCAGGTTACTCGTGATTTTATAATGAAAATGACTGTACAATTATATTCCATTCTATAATTGACCTCTGTACGTATATGTCACGATACTCACTGTTCACTTGCCTCCTCGCATCCACTCGGTGACAACTAAGTAGCCTACACTTAGAAGAATAGCTAGTATTCAGATTACTTTAATTTAAGTAACCAGATGGAGTGTGATTTAGGGGCCAGTATCATTGATAAACAACATGATAGCTCACATTGTTCATGGTCACAGAGGGCGCAATATTCGGCAGTTTTCTATTATTGCAACGAATATTAATTTTAAACGTTTAATTGCCCATAAATCAAGCATACAATGTGGGTAATATTTAGTCGAGCCTTTTTTAAAATAAAAAAAATATCATTATGGTCAAGTTAAAATTTTGGCTGCAAACGTAGCACTTTCAAGGCAAAAATACAAAGCGTTCCAATTACGTTATGTATAGTGCCTGGATTCGTAAATATTAGTTTGTTATTATATAAATAAAGTCATATAATATTTTTCCTCTCAAGGTTCAATACACTAAACAGGCTCACAACATTTCCAAATGTCATCTATAATGACCGTTTGCTTGGAATCCCTTTATAAATGAGATCATATTTACTATTCTATTTGTGTGCAAAGATCTTTCGGACAAAAACATATGGAATGCATTTAAAAGATATTGATTATAATTTATTGTTACTGCCTATGCATAATTGTACAATGACAATCCATATTTCAGGGGTAATTTACACACTCGCATTCATATATTATAAGGAAGTTAACAAAGTAATTCATGACATGAAAAGGGGTAAAGCTACGGGGTATGATGGAATACCAGTAGAATTGTTAAAAAAATGTCCCACTAAATTTACAGTTATACTAGTTAAATTATTTAATAAGTTATATTCTGCTGGTTACTTTCCGAGTGATTGGGTATTGAGGTTTATTGTACTGCTACACAAAAAGGGTGAATTCAACAATGTTAATAACTATAGGGGAATTACATTATTATCACTGCTGGGTAAAGTATTTGCTTCTATAATATATACCAGATTGAACAAATGGGTCGAAAGAAATTGCTCTTGAAACGAAAATCAAGCTGGATTTCACAAGTCGTATAGTACGCTATATAATATGTTTATATTAGACACCATCATAAATAGATATTTCACTCTTAAGAGCAGACTTTATTGTGTGTTTGTCGATTTTGAAAAAGCGTTCGACCATCCTAATCATTATATGTTAATCTTTAAATTGCTAAAAAATGGTCTTCATGGTCGCTTTTTCAAAATTGTACAGTCTATGAATAGCAATATAAAGTCTCGTGTACGAAGCCCAAACGGGGTAACGGAAACGTATAAATGTCTATGTGGGGTTCAACAAGGATCTATTTTGTCACCTCTTCTGTTTGCTTTGTTTATAAACAACCTCGGTGACTATTTGGAGCACAGACTTTCAGGTGTATATGTTGGTTCTGTTTGCTTTGTTTATAAACAACCTCGGTGACTATTTGGAGCACAGACTTTCAGGTGTATATGTTGGTTCTGTTTGCTTTGT